AGCCCCAACAACTTTTTGTTTTGTTTTTTGCTCTCCTTGTTAGGATCCTCCTGCGGAGAGCCAGGAACACTCCTGCCTCTGCCGTACCTGTGTTGGTCATATACAGTCCTGCCACTGCCTCGCACTGAGGCTGCAGTCACACAACTGAAATCTGGGGAAGAGGCAGCACGTACAGGAAGATGCTAATGAAACAAGATTTTATGTCGTTCATAATGAAAATTACCCTATTCACTTGGAATAAGGACCATGTGGATAAACAGTATTTTCAAGGGGCAAATACACGCATCAGAAGTTTTTCCTCCAGTATTTTGCTTCAAACTGCCACCTCCCAAATTATTTGGTCCTTCCCTGCTCTTGCATTGTGCAGGAGACCAACATCAGCCCATAGAGCTTTGAAGCGGTGCAGAAATGTGCATCAGGAACCAGACAAGGAACAGCATTCCATGGGCTGAGGCCTGGAAATTCAACGTCCTGGGATGCCACCCAAGAAAATGCCAGTTCCATCCTGCTCTGTAATTAAGAGCTGTGTATATATGCAAGGTTCAAACTAGGGGTTGGTTATCCCTCTTGCCCAAGCGTTCGGAAAGTGTTTCAAAGCTGGGGTAGGGCAGGGAAAAACAGGATGGACAGAAAGAGGAATGTACTGGAATGAGTTTATCATGAACTCAAATGAAAGTCTCCTGAATCACGAAATACCCAACTGAATTTATTGACAGAACTTCTTTACAAGCTCCGTACCCATCTGAGATGAGATTTCAAGCCTTCCTTTTCAGGAGAGCTAGGCAAGGTCTGTGTGTGGAGCACACAGATGAAGGCCACCTTATCTGTGTCTGGGCACAAACTCTCACCTCCCCGTAAGGCTAAAACACCTAATTCAAAGCTGCAATGTAAGAGTCAGCCTTGCACAGCCGGTGCAGACGTCTGTGAGGCAGCGTTTGTTGCTCGGAAGCAGAGAGCAGACCGGCGGAGCTCGGAGGAGCCCTGGAGAGCGGCTCGCCCAGCCCCGACGCATGGGGCTGCTCCCGGCAGCCAGAGCGTCTCCGCGGCCAGAGCCGCCAGCGCCCTGCAGGCGGCTGCTCCCACTCCTGCTCCCGCTCCTGCTCCCGGACCCGTCCTCCTCATAGCAAGGAGGGGTTTCCTCCTGCCCAGACGGGACTTCCCACATTTCGGTTTGTGCCTGCTGCTTCTGGTGGCTGGTGACAGAGCCTGGCCCTGTCCTCTCTGCACCCTCCCTTCAGACACTTACCCATGTTGCCAAGATCCCCCTGGGATTTCTTTCTCCAGGCTATGCCAGCCCTGCCCTTGGAGCCTTTCCTCATCCATTAGGGCACCCCCCAGCCTGGTGCTGGGGACTGTTCCTCCTCCCTTGCTCCAGCTCCACGAGGTTCCTCTCCACCCCCCTCTCCAGCCTGTCCCAGGCCCATGGATGGCAGCAGAGCCCCGGGTGGATCAGCCTCTCCTCCCACGCAGGGACACCCAGGACACGTGCTGAGGGTGCACCCTGTGCCCCACGCAGGTCCCTGAGGAAGCAGCTGGACAGGACTAGGCCCAGCACTGACTGCAGGGGGGCACCCCCAGCTACAGGCCCCTAAACAGACTCTGCTCCGCTGATCACGGCCCTGGGACTCTGCCTTTCCCCCAGCTCTCAACGTGCCTCCCTGTCCACTTGTCTCACCCATACGCCTGGAGCTTCCCATGAGGATGCAATGGGAGACAGTGCTGAAAGCCTTGCTGGAGTCGAGGAGACACCAGCCACTGCTCTGCCCTCATCTACCCGCCGTCACCCCATCGCAGAAGGCTCTGGGGTTGGGTCACCAGGATTTCCCCTTGGTGAATAATTGATGACTCCTCCTGATCGCCTTCTTGCCCTTCATGTGCTCAGAAATGCTGTCCAGGATTAGCTACTCTATTATCTTTCCAGGGATTGGATGAATCTGACTGTCTTTTAGTTCCTTGGGTCCATCTTGCCCTTTTTGAAAGCTGGAATGACCTTTGCTTTCTTCCAGTCCTTGGGCATCTCTCCAAGGTGCCTCCTTACCTCAACTCAAGCGAATCCTCTTAAAAAGGCCTTTTGGATTCCAGGGGAGGCCCACAGTTCTGTGAGGCCAGAGGTTTCCAGCCATCTGGGTAATAAGGAACTGCTGACCTGTGATGAAGAGCTGAGACATGAAAGGCTACCTGGAACAAGCTATAGGTCTCTCTTAACCCCTAAAGGAAGCAGTGCTCATGAAAACCAGAATGTTGAACTCCCTGCTGCTCTGGGCCAGACTTTAAGTAAATTCCTGCATGCTAAGGCAGACAAGCTGCATCTCTACCCCTGCATTTGGGGATGTCTTCACTAAAACCTGAAGCATCCTTTGGTAGCTGACACCAGGTAGAGCTGTTCAGTAGCTCATGCAGATGCAGCCAAACAGCTGCCACAGATGAAGGTAGCGAAGCCTCCCAGCTGCTCCGCTCTGCCCTTTCTCTACCAGCTCTGGTCCTAGATAAGTTACTCACACTCCTCAAGATGTGTATGGATCCCCTTGATGCACCGCAGTTACCAGTATGAGTATCAGTCAGTATGGATATAGTTAAACATATGGACTCTGACATAAACAAGGACAAGTTTGGACAGCTTTGAACTTCTTGGTGCTTTCCAGCCATTGTAGTGCTGTGCCTGAACCTTCTGGAAATCAGCACAGTTCTTGGACCTGGTTTTGGGCAGCAAACATAGGAAAGTCCTCTGGTGGAATCACGCGCTAAGGTCTGCAGGTTTTGAAGTTCCTTCTACAGAAAAAGCCCTTTCTGTTTCTCCAGACTTTCTGGTAATTCATCAAGGGCCAGTATTACCAACGGATCGACTGAGAAAGTGCCACACAGAGAGAGCCGCCTGACAGCCACTGCTCTGCCAAGTGGTTCGTTCTGTTAATGGTCCAAACGTGAGATAACGACCTGCAGACACCTGTCCCCTTGTTATAGGGGCATTCCAGCACCTCTCAGATGGTGACTGTGTCACAAAGAACTGAAGCCTGCTCACAGGTGGACACGGTGGTGCTGCTCTTCACCTGGACCTCCCCAGGCTCCTCAGGACATCTGCAACTGTGGAGAGAACATGACAGGAAACAAAATATCCTGAAGAATACACAATGAACGGGCGGAAGCCACTTTACATTTCAGCACCGAAAAACATATATGCACTTAGTTAGTGACCTGTCTTCCTAGGCTGCTAACTGCACATTTCTACATCTACTTCAAAACCCCAAATCATTAAAAATGTACATTGGGGCATCAGGTTTCTATCGGATTTCTTCCCTCCAGGAAAAAAGCCATAATTTGGTGATATTTCTATTGAGAAAATCTATTTTGAGATGTTTGCCAGCTATTCCAAGTCGGATTGTATTTTGCTCATGTTATAGTGTTTTAATTAAAATATTATACAGTACAATTCCTGCTCTTTTGTTAGACATTTGACATGTCGAAAAACTTTACAAAGTTATTTACTTTAAACTTGTAAAATATCTTGTTGACCAGGTAAGACCCATCTTGTTAACAAACCTGTTTATTAACATTCAGGCTGCCCCCCTTTAATCAATCCTTTCCCTTCTGTTTTTATTTTGTAATTGCCATCCAGACAACGGGGAACTTCCCGTGCACTCGTTGTGCTCTGAATCCAGCCAGCGGAATGGGAGCCAACGGCGGAACGGAGCTGGACAGGGAACAGCACAGCCGCAGGATAGGGCTCGTGGTTTCTCCAGCAGGAGTGGAGACCAGCCCTGGGACAAGCTCGGCCCTTCCAGGAGGACGTTAAGCAGGTCCCGTCACTCACCTGTCCAGAACAGGCGCCTCGAGCCAGGACGAGGAGCTGCCGGGATGGGTGACCACGGGGACGAGCTCATCGAGGGCGGCCAAACACAGGCTGCACAGACTGGCTCGCTGTTAACTCGGGATGACCCTAAATACCGGGGAAGGGGAAAGGTTACTTGAGCTTATTTAACAGGAAACAACAGTACAAAAACAAGTTAACATAAATCGACTGTAAATAATCTTAGACTGCCAACACAAATCTCTAATCCCCAACAGAAGAAAGATTCTCGAGCATTTAACTCTTCCTGCTTCGTTTTAAAGGCATCTCTAAATGTAGAAGCAGCCTGAAGTACCAGGAAGCCCAACTCGGAGCTCCTTTCTGACACTGCTGAGATCATCATTCTTAGATGAATTTCTGAACTAAAAATTCTTTTCACATTTCTACTGTTTGCATAACACTTATACATAACAAGAAAAATAACAGCCCTTTATGTGCTTAAGAGCATTTAAAATCATTAACACAAGGAGCTAATTCTGTTCCTACTCATTAAACAAGAAGATTCCAAAAATAAATGCATTCAGGCTTTTAAGAATTACAAAATCTGTGTTTTCCACAAAGCTTGTCCTTTCAGCAAAGCCTGTTTTCCACGTAAGTGTGCACAGCACAGGGGCTGGGTGTTTACTTTAGCCGTGTCTGAGGTGCTGGAGATCAGCAGTGCTGCCCTCGCAGCCCAGCCGTGCCGCGCACAGCCCGCGCTGCCGCTCGCAGTTCAGGCTCGTTCCTGACGGTTGGTGAAGGCAGCTCTCGCCCACGAGCAGAGCTGCGAGGCCGCCGCGCGCAGATGGCCGCTCAGCACGCGGCTGCTCCGCTCCCTCCGGGAAGGCTCCAGCCAACCCCAGACAACCACCCTGCGCCGCAGGAAGCCACCACTGACCACACAGCACACCCAGCTGGGCCTGAAGCACTGCGGGAAGGGACTGCCTGCTCCACTCCAACCGCTCCTGACCCAGCTCCGGTGATGATGGCTACTCCAGCCCCCAGGGTGGAAGGGAGCTCAGCAGGGGCTCTGCAGTCACAATACTGTGCAAGGCAGGAGCAGGAGCCCTTGGCTGGGCCCCTGGCCCCTCTTCCAGGCTGGGGCAGCAGGACCCAAGCTCCACTCCGGACGTCATGACGCCAGCCCCATAAGACACACACACACAGCAGCACACGGGCTTTCTTTGCGCTTTTATCCAAACTAAAAGTACATCACAGAGATCTGCGCCCACCCTGGGGCGTCCTTTACACATGGCTAAAAAAAAACAGACAGGCATAGGGGGCAGGGGAGAAGTCTCTTTCAAGTGAAGTTCATGCTGACAGGTCACTGTTATCAAATCTCTCCTGGTCGTACACTTCTGCCACCACCTTCCTTCCCGCAAACCAGCGCCCGTTCAGAGCCTGAATGGCTTTGTGCGTCTCGGAGGCCATGGAGAACTCCACAAAGATCTTGACTATGATCTCGGCGTCCTCCTCTTCTCCCTGCTTTTCCTGGTAGATGATGACCCTGTTCACAGCCCCAAACTTGCCACACTCTTCTGTCACTTCTCCCTCCAAGTCATCATCAATGTCCTTTGGATCCACCATGTTGCGCAGCACCATGACCGTTGACTGCAGAGAGAAGAAACAGGACAAGTGAGTTGATGTTGCCACGAGACACCGGGGCTGATCTGCAAAGCCACAGCAGGTGAGCAAGAGGCCTGAGCAGCACAGGACAGCCCAGTGCTGTCACTGAAAGCACAGACACAAGTGAATTTCTCCAAAGGCACCAGAAGCACAGGCCGCTCTCCCTGCCTCCCTGTGGTGGACTGCAGTCAGAAATGCTCCACGTGCCACCTCTCGTGCTGCTAGACCCACCCGTAAGGCACAAGGGATACAAAGATCTCTTTTTTGTTCTTTTCTTGAGTGTTGCTCCTATCCAGATATTTTTTGATTCATAACTTTCAGCAATTTTGTTATATATTTTGGTGAATATTGACCTTAATCTCTGCATACACTGGAAGGTTTAACCAGCTCTTTTATCCCTTTGGCAGCTGACCAGACACCACCATTAAGGGAGGTAACTAAATACAAGTCCATTATACTGTGTGCTACATGCATGCTAAAGCCATTTGGACCAGTTCTTATACACATAAACCTGTTTAAGTGTCCCTATGGGCCTACTAAGGGCAGCACAACCAGAACTGCAGTGAGAATGCCAAACGCCTTTCAGAAGGGTGTCATTTTAAGACTCTCTTTGATGCTGCTGAACGCTTTCTTCATTCGAATATACCAATGGAGCTGGATTCCTAGGGAAAGGTACTCGCGACACAGGAAAGCTAGCAGCAAAGTCAAAGTCCTGGAGATGCAGCTATAATGCTGATTTCCACCCAAAAGCAAAGGGTGGAGCATCCTCTTATGAAGTGCTCGTCAGCACTATCCTTGCAGGGCAAACAGAGAGGGAAGGTGAAGGGTCTACACAGTGCCAGAGCTCAGAAAATCTGTGCATCAAGGAAGGATCTGGATCACACACAGGAACAAGTGTCCGGCCAGGTTTGTACAGACACTGGCTGCCACTTCCCAACATTCCTGTCCTCTTTCTCGCTGCATCTCGTGACATTTCCTGTAAGAACCTCAGAGTTTTACCCTAGAGTAAGAGAAAAAAAAAGGGGTTTTTAACGCTCGAAAACAGGCTGCCTTTGGCACAAGGTGGTAGGTTTGCATCTTTAATTACAAGCCAGAGCAAACCAAGATGGCCTTTCAATGACTGTGAGTGAACAGAGGGTCAAATCAGAGGGCCCTGCAAGTGAAGCCGCCTCTGCCCTAGCAGCTGGACAGCACTCCTGGAGAAACTCAAAAGCAGCAGCTCCCAAAGCAGGACAGCAAAGAACCATCACAGGCAGCTCAGGAGCAGGCAGTGTTCATACTCCTACACTAGCTCTGTGGGGCATCTGCAGTATTTGCTGCTGGAAGATGGCACGACGGCCTGCTGAGCTCTTGAGACAGAGCTGAGCCAGGGCCTCGTGTGCTGAGTGCCGCACGCAGCTCGGGCAGCCAGACACACTCACCTCCTGCTTACGGAGCAGCTTCTGCATCACCATGTGGCGGGCGCTGCTGCCCGAAATGCTCATGTGCTCCTGCTCGCTCAGCATCTCCGGCCGCTCCGACTCCTGGAAAACCTCCTCCTCCTCCTTCTCTTTCTTGACCTCCACCAGGCCCAGCGTTGGGGGACTTGCCAGGATGGGATTAACAACTCCCACTTGTGGGATGGTGACTGGAATGGGAGGTCGAGCAGGGGTTACACCTGTAAGAGAACAAACTCTGCAGCATTAAGGACAGAACTCCTGTTCTGCAGCCCTTAGACACCAGCTAGGAAAGGGGGGCCATGGAATCTGTGTTACTGCTCTGAACCGAGAGCGGCCAAGGAGGCTTAAGCAGCTGCTCGGTCAGTGCACGGGGCACACGCTCCCCACACACCTTGTATGCCTGTCCCGACAGGAGACAGCAGCGTGCAGATCTTGCATGGAGCAATAACCATCTGCACCTTCACTCACAGTGCCGTGCATTTCTGCTGCAAAGCTCAAGTCCCTCTCAGATCTATTACACAACAAAATAAACTCCTGCTATGCTGCACAAATTTAAAAAAGAGAAGTTCTTGACAAGGGAGGGCAGGGAGGGGAATTTCAGCTCCGCATCCTCCTTGGCTGTGACCCTAGTTGTGTAGAACTGCACTTTTACCAGTTATACACGTGACAAAACGACTGGCAAACCCACCTGTAATGACTCCTGGAGCCTGTGCTGCCATCACAGCCTGTGGCAACGCCCCTAATGGCTGCGCCAGAGTCAGTGCTGGAGAGACGAGCCCAGGAGTTGCCAAAGTGCCAAGAACTGCAGCTCCTGCCACCGCTTCCTGCAAGGGGAACAAAAAAGGCACATAGTCCATTGTGCACCAAAAATGTGCTATGTCGGCCCCTTTCTCCTCATATTTATTAAAGTACTAAATTCGCAGGTCCTGGGGACGGCAGCCCTGCAGTGACATTGGAGCAAGAAAGAGCCCATCGGTTGCCCAGGCCACCACAGTAACCACCAGACATCAAGCCCTGGAAGAAAAATGTTCTCTCATGTTTCAGATTTTCCCCATGCTGACAAGGTGCCAGGCACACTCCTGAACGGGACAGCAGCGGATTCCATCGCTGCTTGTAGGAATACAGGCAGTTCCAGAGCAGAAGGAACTGCTCCTTGTTTCAACCTCTTAGACTCAAGAGGGCCTCCAACAAGTGCTCTGAGGCAGACGCAGTGGACAGCCCAGGGAGGCTCTGCTGAACAGCTCAGCAGGCAGCAGCAGCTCTTATTAGAGCTAAGGAATTCTAATGCATTGAACCAGACCGATGGGAGCTCCCATCCCACCCCTTCTGACGACAGTCTCGGTGCTCTTGGGGCTGTGTGAAGGACCAGGCTGGGAATTCTTCTGGCCTGACTTTTCCTTAAGGCTTAGCCTAGGATCAGATCGCTCATCTGAGTGAAAGCACAGAGTGGCCCCAAACATTGATGTAAGTGGAAGGGCTGAGGAGGGCACAGCGCATGGCTGCTGCTGTCAAAAGCTGCACACCCTGACATCTGCTTAGGTCACTCTTCTTGGTTCTGCAGTTTTCCCTTACGCAGTTAGGTGCAGCAGCAGCACAGAGCCCTGGCTCTGGCCTTCATCATCACAGCAACCGCAGACAGGGCTCATGGCAGCGAGTTCCTGAGACGGCCACAGAGCTAAGCTCTGCCACCACCATTTCGCCTGGGAAGGCCTCTCTGGGTTTCATCCCTTTTCATGTCTGGAAGCTTTCTTCACACTTCCACCTTTGATAATTAAGGCGTTTTATAGCCGTTTCTTGTCATTCACATGGTCTGAGCCTGTTCTCCCATCCTGTTACCTGCTTCGCTCCATATGGACTGAATTCAATCAATAATTTGATGCTCTTCTCAGGATAACTTTTATTTATGGCAAGGAAAGCTCTTCTAGTTCCTTACTGTTTATCAGGTTTTCCATTTCCCTTATTGTTGCAGTCCTTCTCTATAATCCAAATAAGACTCTTGACTCTAGATGGCCAAAATCCAAGTAATATTCTAGATCAAGACTTTGTTAAAATGATAACACTTCTATAAAACTACTAAATAATTTGCTTAATATATCCTAGGATCACGACTCGACTTTTTGTTGTTTAACAACAAACTACACTTACGAATCCTTTTCTTGTTTGCACAGGCCTCCTATAAACTCCCATAACGGAGCAGAAATTCTCAGGCTTTGGTCCTTAAATGCAGTATCTTGTATTCTACTAGTAAACTCCACAGACAGTCTGATTCCATTCCTCAGGATCTCACTTCTTTTGTGTGATATTCCATTTCTCCTCTACATTTACAATGCATCTCATCTCTGTATTACTGACAAATTTCATTAGAGCTCTAATTCCCAGACTGAGATGGCTAATGTTTGTATTAGTGGAGATAAATCATGAAATAATTCCACCAGAAGGGCAAGCAACTTCCAGCACAGCTCATTTTCACTCTTTCTTCATTTAATTCATGCATCTCAAATTCAATGCAATAGCCGTGGCCTTGCCTAACAGCTTTTCGTATAGGTCTCTAGCAAATCATGTTCTGAGCTTTGAGCAGACTATGCAGTACATTTTTATTCTAATAAAATTTAGTGGTAGGACTCAAAGAAAGTTATCACCCATCCGGATATTCCCCCTAGAACACTCAAATACATTCCATATGTTTTTACTTAACCTCTGTCCTTCCTTCAACACTTTTTTTTTTTTTTTTTACATCTTTCCCTCCCGTTAGAGTCAGGAGAAGTCTGTAGATGCCACATCTTTTCCATAACATTTTCAACACAGGTGTCATGTTTACTGTTTTTCAGTCATGCAACAACAGCCCTGACTTGACAGAATTAGCTAAAAAGAAAACAACCCTCCATTAAATATACAACATTGAACATGCATGACAAATTCTGAGCTCTACACCTATTTAGAACACAGCAACACCAAGTGCTTCATTAGCCATGGTGCCTTCCACTTCTACTGAGGATTGAAAAAGCAAGGAAAAATACTTCATAACCTCTAGCGCCCTGCCTAGGCTTTTTGTAATTTTGAGTTCAGTCTTTCCTAGCTGCCACACTTTTTACTTAAATGGCAAGAGAAACTCTAGCAGCTTTAGCTTCTTACCTTGCACTGTAAGGCTGATTTTTGAACAGTGGCTGTCAGGTATAGCTGTCTGCTATTCAGTACCTGTCTCTACTCACAGTTTTATTGAGGGACGGAGACACTCCCTTCTTCCTGGGTCAGCATGCTAATTCCAGGCGAAATTGTATCTATGACCTAGAGCTTCCCTCTGGTGCTCATGAACTCTTCACCCGAGTTACTGATTAGCTGCTTTAATTTCACAAGTCTCTTCTATTGAAACCACAAAGCCCTTAAAGAACATATGCAGATAGGGCCTGCATTTAATTGAAGCTACTCTGTACAAGAACTACCCTAAAGGAGCAGTCCTGACTCCCTGCAGGCAAGGAAAACAGGCACATATACGGGGGCTCACTTTGGACACCAGTTCTCCTCCTCGTCACGGGCAGGAGTTTCTGCTACCTCTCACTGCAGTCTCTGAGCAGACTTAGTCTGAGAATTCCTGCCTCAATACTCAGTTTTGCTCCATCGCTGCAGCACCTGTTTTCTGGACAGCCTAAAGCCACTAGAGCTGCCTTTCACCTTACCACAGGCAGGATCTTTTCAACAACTCTACTGCTCAGGTGACTGTTTGCCCTCATTACTACCCACCCATCACATACTATTTGACATTCTTTTAGCTTTTAAGTACTTAACTTCTAGCTTTAACTTTTAGCTATTGAACTATTTAGCTTTTAACTATTTTAACTACTTATTTAGCTTTTAACTATTTAGCTAATTTTAGCTAATGCCTATCCAACCTTCCTCACCCATTTCTTTAAAGGTCCAATCACACACTCTTCCACACCTCCACAAGTGTCCTAGACAAGCTTCTCTTTGTGAAATGCTGGGGATGCAGCTGTCATTAGAACTACCAAATACTTGGCTGGAAGAGCTGCTATTCTCGATACTAACAGCACCAAAACACCCATCCGTTTCACAGAATGACAGAGCCTGGGCCTTACCTGGGCTGTGATTTTTGCTGTGGCCGCTGCTGCAGCTACAGCCGCCGCTGGAGGCAGCCCTCCTGGGGTGGCAGGCGTCAGCAGGGGCATCGGGGGAGTGACGGCTTTGCCCACTCGCAGATACTGCCCTCCGAGGTCAAAGAGGTTCATCGAAGAAACAGCATCTTGAGAAGACTGTGCTTTCTCATACTCTGCAATGAGAAAAACGCCTGCAAATGACCTTCTGAACCTGTGAACTCAATCACTCTCTGTCACTGGACAACTTAGACTTATATTTATGAAGAAAAGAATAGGACCACTTAGAGCTCCAGTGAGAAGCCCTTCACTTCTTAGTTCACTCATTCCTCTGACTATGCAAGCATTGTTAAGAATAGTAAGCAAAATATCTCAACTAATTAGATTTCTAAGATCGGGCACAGGTCCTCCCCCAGACGTGTTACTGCTCTGCAGTTTGAAGTAATTCTTCCACTAGAGTTAAAACAAACAAAGAAGATAATGAATATCAGAAAGCCATTTTACCAATGAAACCGTAGCCTTTGTGTTTTCCTGTTGTAGGGTCCCGTGCTAGCGTGCAGGATTTAATCTTTCCAAAGGCCTCGAACACGCTCTTGATGTCATCGTCTGAAAGGTCCTGATGCACAGACGCCACGTAGATGCGGTTGAAGGCCCTTGCCTCTTCTGCCAGCTGGTCTATGATCGGTTGTGCCTGCCCTATGTTACTCGGTCTTCCGACCTGCAGAGCAAACAAACAGCCCATGAGTGCTCGGAGCAGCGGCATCGGGACTTGTCAGGACACACAAAAGACAAAAACGGAGACGGCTGCAGAACTGCCGGCTCGGCCCATGCAGCCCCTCGTAATGCCGCAAGCAGCACAGGGACTCGCCGCTCTGGGACACAACCCACTCTACAGGGCGTTCCAGGAGCACTGAGGGCCTCGACAGGCTGCCTTCTCTCCCCCGTTTTTTCTAAGCAAGCACTTTTCTCTGCTCACCTACCAGAGGCCAACTTGCAGAAAGTGAGAACAATGCTGAAAGCAAGACATGAAGCTTTCCTGCCCTTCTGTGAGGGCTCCTAGGAACTGCTTTGAAACAGCTCTGCAGACACGCAGAATGCAGCTGAAGATTGCCAAAAACAAAGGTCCAGCAGGAAACAAATTCTAGGTCACCTTCCACAGCACAGTGCTGTGGGAAGCATTTCTAGCCATGAAAAACTTTATTGACAGTAAAAAGAAATAAGTCTCGAGGCATGTCTGCTACTCACCTTTATGTTTCTTCCTCCCAACATGACAGAGTTCATCTGCTCCAAGGCCAGCTGAGCAGCTTCAGGCACCTCGTATTCCACAAAAGCAAAACCCTGGAACAGAAGGACACTCTCACTGAATCACACCCATCTCAGGCTGTCTCAAATTAGTGCCAGCTAATGCAGCCAAGAGTCCCCATGTACCAGATTCCAGTTATCGTGGCCTAAGGAGACACTTCCCTAGATAATTTTTAAGAAAGCAGAAAGCTGCAGGCTGAAGCACAGACCCACGGCCACCTGCTTCCCGAGTTTCTCATGCTCATGTAGTACGTGCAGAGGTACAGAGAGGTGCAACGTGTACAGAGACTCGTACAGTCTCTATACCCAGTGGCCTAGGGACAGGCCCCTGCACACTGGACTGCTCAGCACCCCTCACGCGTGTGGCTCTCACCACAGGCAAGCTCAGTGGGTGGCCACAAACATTTACGCGAAAGGCCAGGTCCTGCGGCAGCCCACTGGCTAGTTCAGGTCAAGGATAAAGGCTCTTTTCTTGGATATAATCAGGAGGGCCTTGTGGATAAAAGGAAAACATTGTTTGAGCACCATAAACCAACCTTGTGCTTCATTGTAACAGAGTCCCAGGACATATCAATGCTTTTTATGGGTCCGAAGGGGGCAAAGGCCTGACGAATGGTGTCTTCTCCCAGCTCATAGTATATGGAACCCACGTACACGCGACACATGATGGCCAGGGCGCGCTGCCTCTGCGCTGCCATCTGTATTGGAAAGAAGAACTGGCTGGTTAGGCTGGCGGGTGGCCACGGACGCCAGGACAACTCCTTCCCCTCCTGCTTCCCTCCCGGGAGCTAAGGCCCAGCAGCAGGCAGCTCCTTGCTGGCTGCAGCACACCAGGGACGTGTGTGTTAATAAAGAAGTCTTTTCCTGCTCGGTGCAGACTGCTGGAGCGGATGGACAGTGCAGGTGACTCCCCGGGCACAGCCAACCTCTGCTGCGGCTGCCGCCCCAGCAGCCTTGGCCCAGCCCCGCTGCTCAGCTCTAGCCCAGCCCGCACGACCCCATCTCCAGCAACACTTGCAGGAGGAGGAAATAACTCCGTTCCTACCCCCCCTTTGGCAGCCAGCATCCCGGCACCGGGCGTCCGCAGGCCTCCCGCTCCCTCCCGCAGGGGCGGCTCCCGCCCCCCGCCCCCTCCCGGCCCCGAAGGCTCTTGAGTCGGTACTGTCCCCCCCCGCCACCCGGCCTGGCCCTCCCCGGGCAGCGCAGGATCCAGTACTAGGCACCACTTCAACACGCACATCAAAGGCAAAGCAAGAACAAAACAAGCAGTCAAATGGAATCTCTTAGTTGCATGGTGCTAGTACTCATCACTGCCTGTTGCTACCAGCTCACAGGGTTGTGCAGCCCCCAGGGACTTTGCCCTTAGCACTCCTGGTGCAGAGATGCCTCTGTTTTTTTTCTCCTAAATATACCTGACAACTCGCTTGCAAGGCAAACCTAGAAGTTTCCTATAGCAGATATCCCCCAAGGCAGTACCCTTCAATTATTATTCCCCATATTGCAATTCTATAGTTGCTGTTCCTAACAAATATTATTCTAGGAAAATATTGCCTTCTTAAATAAGTAATAATAATAAATGAATCACAGGTTTGGCCAGCATATCCTATCAGCATGTCTTGGGACCAAGGCAGAAATGAAGCCTCTGTAGAAGCAACTCCCTGCGATCAGCAGGACTGAACTATCGTGTGTGCTGGAGCTTGCGCTGGGCTTCGCTGCTGGCCTGGGGGAGGCACCAGAGGGCAGCAGGGCTGCAGGCGGCTGCGAGCAGGCACAGAGGGGCACAGAGGGGCATGCAGCTCCACGCAGCTCCATGCAGCTGCACCCGGCCGCAGCTCGGAGCCTCCTCCTGCCAGCGCTGCCCAGCAGGTCTCCGGCTGCGGCCTGGGAGCCGAGCTCGGAGCTGCCGGGGCCACGGGTGCTCCAGAGGCACCTGCGAGGGACACGGCTCCCTGCGCTGGGCACAGGGTGCGCGCAGCAGCTGCGCCTGCTGGAACTGTGGTCCTCACAACACATGTGTGTGCGGCTGGCACCAACCACAGGAAGAAGAGGGAACTGTCAGGCAACGGGGCTCAGCTCCTGCTATTCCACCTGGCGGGATATCGTGGTCAGGAATGGTTCTCAGCCCATGCTGCTGCTCCTGAAGGGATATTAAACTTGCCTTTTGACTAGGTTTAAATATTTCACACAATTAAAAGTAATAAAAAGTAAAACCCATTTCTCCCCATAGCTCTGTAGTGGACTATGGCACATGCACACACACAGGACTGCTGTGCTGTCTCCCAGGTCCTCCAACACCCTCCCAGTTTTGGTGCACAAAGGGCAGAACCAGGACCCGCACCCAGTGCCGTGCAGCTGTGTGTAAGGTGCCACAGCCACCCCCGTCCTGCCCCCATGTGCTGGTGCGGATCTGGTGCCACAGCCTGCAGCAGACAGGCAGTCCTGTCCTCAGAGGGCTCCTTGCCAAAGCACTGCAGCCTCGCATTGGGCAGAGGGGTTTCCTGCTCCTGCAGGGTACTTAAGGACAGCCCTCCCTTTTCAGTTATCACTGCAGCTGTAGCAAGAAAGGGGCTTTCATCCTCTCCCATGGGAGCAATCTGCCCAGATCCCATCAAAGCAGGTGTGGACTTGGGAGGAATCTGTTACACCTGCAATATATTAGAAATCTGGACCCATCAAAGTCAGAATTGACCTGGACTAGAGGCACATGTGGACTAACAGGAACTACTATCCTACTGGTGAGTGATGCACTATGCACCTGCAAACTATGCACAGGACTAAGTGGCAAAAACTCATGCAGAGAAATCTCACTGCTTGCACTAGCCACATTCAGTAGCTTTGAGCTGGTCTCTGGCCCTCTCTTCCACCTCTAAAGCAGAGTTTAAGGTATCAACTACCTTCATAAAGGCAGCAATGTTTGTATCCATATGTTTTATCTATAGAACATTGCTGTTGGTTAAGTGCAGAGAGGGCTATTTTAAGTACAAATTAAAGCATAATCTTTGAATGCTGCTTTAAATGAAGGAGGCAATGCAAAAACATCACCACAGGCTTCAATTTTAATACAACGATTACAGGAAATTTTGCTCATCTTGCTGGTGCAACATGGAAAGTCTCAAGCTGTACCATTTGGAGAATTAAGTAGATAGTTTTTTTAATCATAGGCACTAGGATATTGCAATAGGAAGTTCAGGCTGCACTTCCTTCATGTAGGAATTTATGAATCCTGTCAACAGGAAAAAAAAAGAAGTGGGACAGAGGTTCATAGTTCTGTTCATAGTCAGACATTCCTGAGGGGTTTGAGGATAAAGCATTTGTTGAGAAAACGGTATCGTAGCTATGCCCAACTGTACCTCCCCCGAGCAATTCAGAGAAGACTCCTGCTCCTCTGTTCCATCCCACTGGCATTGGACATTGACCTTATGGAGGCAGGGATGTCTTAGGAGAATTTACAGTATTAACTGTGCCCTGATGGCTAATAAGAATTTAAACATTTCCTTTTGCATTATCAGTACCTGTTTTTCCATCTGCTGCCCGGGTGTGAATAATACAGGCTGCCAAAAACAATTGAGCAAAGCTCGTGGAGTTAATGTTGTTAAATAAGCACCTAGGTCTCTAGCTGGATTTCTCGGGCATCAGGGTTGGGTTCAGAAACCATTCGTGCCAAATTCATACTGAGAAGTATCCTACTCCATTCCAAACTTGCATGCCATGGTAAATTTTATTTCAGCTCCCCTGCTGACATGCAACCTGCTGTTGCAGTGTTAAAGTAGGGAAACCAGGTGACTTTATTTCAAGTGAAAGATGCACTAAAACTAAAGACCTCTAGCTGCATTTTATACCAGTCAAACACATGGTATTCCAGCAAGATGGAAAATATTTACAACTGAACCTTTGCAGGCCGAGTGGAGTTTTCTGCACTTTTTGCAGGGGCCACTGTCCAACATGCCTAGGAAAAAGGAGGGACTGGATAATCCCAGATAACTAAGTCCTTTGCAATGTCTGAATAGCAATTCCAGCACTAAAGGACTGCACAGGTTCCCTGAATAGTCCTGCAGCTCTGTTACTTTCACCCTGCTTTTACGTTCTGCGAGACCTAGCCTGGAGACATGCACAGCAAGAACCGCCCTGCGCTACGAGGTGCTCCGCCAGCCTGTGCGCCCCCGTCCTCCCCAGCGCCGCAGCTGCCAGGTCTCTGGTACCGTCAGTTTGCGTTACAAGAAGTCACCCATTTGTGAGTTACCTTGGCAGTTAGTTTTAGGTCAGGACCTCAGAACTGTAGCATCCCTAGAAATGCAGCTCCCACAATTTCACGGGTGTGTTCAATGGTTCGAAATCTAAAGCTTGCTTTGCCAACTGCCTCCAAGGCCCCGACTGCCAGTGCCACAGCAGACTGCCCAGCCCAGGGTCTTCCTCTGGGGAGTTTACACTTTGCCTCTGCTTGTTGTGCTTGTCCATAACAGGTGAGTATGTGGGAGGGTTGTGCTGGGTTGAATTAAGAACATTGTATTACCACTACATTCTTCCCCACTCTAGGCCCTGACTAAGACAAAGTGCCCAAGAAGAAGTGAATATGTCTATTGACCGATTGTAAAGGTGAGAGAGGATCTCCAAAGCCCATTGTCACTGCTGCCATCTGAAAGACAGTAAAGACAGAGTTCAGTCTGTTGGAGCTGAGCATACTATGGCTGTTTGTAAAAACTCAAGCAGAGCGGCGGCACAGGGACCCTGTGAGAGAGGCCTCTCCTTCCTCGCCCCTCACTGCCTGGTCCCAAGGACTATCCGGCGCGGGGACCCTGCAGGTGCCAGTCCCACCAGGCCAGGGTGGAGTTGTGCTGCTGCCACTGCCTCAGGAAGCAGGGTCTTCTCCCAGGGGGACTCAAGGCAATAGTAACCTCTGCAACCACTGTCGTTGATCACCCCCAGCATTTTAAGGAGCCCCTTGACCACAACAGCCACTCAGAAACATGCACAGCCCGGAAAGGCCCGAGCTGCCGAATGCGGCAAGCACATCCACGCTGACGCTTTGCTTAAAAACGCCCAGCGGCCAACCCAGTATTCTGGGCTTCTTAACTTTGAGTAAATGTAGTAATATGTCCCAAAGAACTTCTGAAGGAAGGGACACTTGAACAGTTTAAGGGTTTTC